TGTTGAGGGTCAAGATTTTTCGGCTGTTCCAAATCTTCATCTAGTTCTGTGAAGTTAGTTTCCAAAGGAGGACTTGTTCGTTTCCTTCAGGCTCTTCTAGCTGTTGTTGCTGAACTATTTCTTCCATGTCTGGTTGTATCTGAACTTCTTCCTGTGGAGTTTCTTGTACCTCATCTGCTGGCATTTCATATATTCCGAGACCGTTTTTAACAATTTCCCTATCTACGTCATCCGCATTCATAAGCTTTTGTTCTTTCGTTCCGTCTCTATTTTTTACGCGTTTCATGACGAAAGTTGAATTGTCATTTAGCTCTGACATCAAATATCTCGGAGTAAATTCATCCATGTCATTTGGATGATATGCTATTAATCATATCCCTTAGCGAGCTTGTATTTTCCAGGTTTGAGATTATATCCGTTTTGGTGCTGAGCCATAAAGCTAAATAGGTTCGGGTCAGTATTTCCTTCCTTGAACTTTCTAATAGCTTCTTTATATCTGTCACTAAAGTCAAGAGTATCTGGGAAACCACACTCTTCTTTAAGCATTTTTAAGAATTCTTGGTTTCCTTGTTCTCTACTTCTTTTATGTCCTTGCTCTGTTTGTGGTTGTTGTTGTGCAGGGTTTTGAACTGTTGGTTGCTGTGCTGGTTGTTGTGTTGGTTGTTGTGCTGGTTGTTGTTGTTGTTGTGTTGGTTTTGGTGCATGCCTGTGTCTGTGTCCATGTGACGATGTAAATGTTCTAGGTAGTCCTGGTGCAGGTGCTTCTCTTGGAGGGTTTGGTGGTATATAAGTTCCACTAGCTAGTATATAAGTTCCACCAGCTGGTATATAAGTTCCACCAGCTGGCACATATGTTCCATCTGCAGCGTAATGTCCTACCTGACTTTTCGTTTTTAAGAAAGCATTTACTAGGTCTGTTTTGGTCTGTTGTAACTCTTTTTCTTGACTTTCCACAACAGTTGCTCTAACGGCGTCATAGGCACTTTGAACTGCCTGTCTCGTTGCTGCATCTGTTATTTTCGTCATATTTTGTGCTACTTCTTTTAACTCTTTGTCGAAACCTTCAGACTTCAGTTTCTTTCCAGATGAGAAGTCGTTCACTTGTTTCACCTTACTATGAAGAGCTTCGAAGGCGTTCTTAAAGTCAGCATTCGTTAAAGCTTCATTTGAACTGTCTTCATCCGCTTGTATTTTTGTCCTTATTGACCCTATGAGTTGGGCTGCTTTAGCGTTGGCTTGGGCATCTAACCAGTCATTGTTAGCTTTTATATATTCTGCGCTTTTCATTGCCTTTTGCATAGCCGCGTCGTTATTTTTACTTTCTTGTGCTAAGTTTTCATACTGTACGGTTTGGTTTTGCAACTGTAAAAGTTTTTCTGCCTTTACATTTGCTTCAACTTCTTTTTTATACTCATCGCTATCCATATATGTCTTCAGGGCTTTTTGTTTTATCTCTTCATCTTTCAGTACTTTATATTGAGTAGTATGGTTTTTCAAATTTACATCTTGTTCCATTTTTGCTACTTCTGCTGCTTTTTCTGACACTTTTTTCGCATATTCCTCTGTACTTAGTTCTTTCAGTTGTTCTTCTTTCTTCTTTTTCTCTACGTTTAACTCATTGAGTTTCTTTGTGTGTCTGTCATATTCTAGTTTCTTTTCGTTTTCACTTATTTGTTTCTGTATGTCTATGTTTGACTTTTTGACATCTGTTATTTGATTTTTGAGTGAACTCAAATTCATTTGACTTTGAGGGTTATAAGCTGTTCCGTCTGCAGCTCCACCATAGCCTGCCATTTTCGCTAAAAGTGCCGCTCTTAAACCTCCACTCTGTGCACCAACAACTCGGTTTAAAAGCATAGGATTGCTTGACATTTGTTGCAACATAGTGGGGTCATTCAGCATTTGTTGTTGCAACTGTTGTTGTGGTGTCAGTTTTACTATTGGATGTTTCAATGCTCTCTTCCTCTTACGTATATTCTTACGTAGCTTACGTGGCATTTTAAGTGAAGTTAAAAAGCGGTTTTTGACAGATGTTTATATGACACTTTTTGTTCAGCACAAAAAACTACTCGGTCAAAGTGTTGTCAGTTTTGTAAAATAACCGTCCTATCTCATTCTATAAGGGGAAAAGGCTTCTCAAAGTATACTTCCTTGGAACGCCTGTAACTTTTCCTGTAGCGACGATAGACCCTTACTTGTCCGGACAAAGTTATACTATTTTGAGTGCTCTACAAAAAAGTCAACGGCGACGACTCTCAAAAAACGTTGTGTAAAAAGTTTTACCGTTGGACAAAAAAGTATATATAGAAAACAAAAAACGTTTATAGTTCATTCAATATTTGAGATGGAACGGTTTGCCAACGGAGACTTTTCAATAAAATAAAAAAATAGAGGGGGTTACCGTTGACGAAAACGGTTTATTTTAAACTTTTCTATGAGTAGTCCGAAAAAACAGTTCATTTTTGTCTAATGTACGCGTCTCGAACAGTGAAGCCCAATTCAATAGAATACTATCTCGAAAAACAAGAAGCTGACACTGCTATTCAGTCTTTAATACAGAACCAAGCTCAGGAGAACTCAAAAGACTCCCAATTCAAATCGACATCCAATTCGAAGCAATTAAAACTTGACTCGAATGTTTTAAAACCACAGCCCGCACGAACAAATACAGCTCTAAGAATAGACCAAAGAATACCGAACAAAGAGTTGAGGTCAAGATTGAAATTACAATCGGATGAGTATTTTTCCCTTAACAACCAGGGAAATACTCCATATAACCGTATCTACACAAATACCGTTAAAGAAACAATAACGGCATACACAAAACTCTGTCAATTGGTCCCCAACCAGGACCAATTGACGGATATTATATGTTCCTACCTTCCCATATTTGCTGAGTGTGTGGAAGGTAGGACATTGTTACAAGCTTGCTTACGTATGCCACCAAATCTCCGTCAACAATTTGCTCAAATTGTACATGAATTTAAAGCTTTTAACAACGGATACGATGAAGATGAAGTAGCAGATGAATTTGGGGAAGCAAAAACATTTTTCCCCTCATATAATACGCCTGCAACAGTATTTCCTACTAATGAATTTCACAACTATTGTGTCGTTCATTTAATTGTTGTGGATATGCCCACAGGTGAAGACATTCTCAGTGGTGACTTCATCGAAGTCTGTATCAATACAGAATTGGGAGAAGATGAGTTGCACAAATTCTCCTACGTCGAACATATATTCAAACCAGCACACCAACTCTTTATCGAAACTGAAATAACACTCACACAAAATATGTCCATCTCATTTAAATCCAAATCAGGACGTCCATACAGAATTTGGATGAACTACGTCCTCTTCCACGACGCCGACGATGACGAAGAAGAGGAAGAAGAGGAGGAGGAAGAAGAAGAAGAAGACGATATCCAGTTCATTTCCATCCGTAAAAAACATTAAAGCAAACATTTCAGAATAAAAACTTCATTTTATACTAACATCTTCAGGGGGCTAGAGGGGCGCAGCCCTGGAAGCCCCACTACCTTTTTTTTTTTTTTTTTTTTTTTTTTTTTTTTGGAATGTTTATTGGATATTGATATAATTGAGATCCACTAATTTCAGTGTTTGAATATTTTTGAACATCATCAATGTAAATTTGAATATTAAATTGTTGATTTGTTACTCTATCAAAGATTATTTTGACATTCATTGTCTGATCCACATTTTGTTTATATTTTGTTTTGTCTAATGAAACACTTTTTAAAAGATTAATAGGGCGATTTGAATGACAAAGTGCTGTATAAAAATGTGAATTATCAAGATTAAACCATCCTGTTGTTTGTATAGAAAGTGTTGAAGGTTCAGCTCGGCCCACAGAATGTTTGGTTGTATTACACGAATTTGAATTAAAATAACATTTAGTTGCTATAATAGATACAACATCGGAGGAACTTTGTACCCATGTACAAAATAGAGAATATCCGCTGTTGCTTTGAAAAATGCATTGATCCAAATAAACTTTACTATTAGTTGCTAAAATAATACCATTATATCTATTTGTTCCTTTCCAGCATTTGTTTGAGAGAATGTTACAATATTTAAGATTAGATGTACCATAAAAATGATTTAAACAAGAACTTCCATAAGCTTCATTGTTATAAAATGTTGAATATAAAATGTTTCCACTATTTTGAATAGAATAACCTGCAAAATCTTCTCTTGCTATTGAATTTGAAATATTTATATTTTGAAGAAGAATTTCGCCATACTGGTGATAAATAGTTGATAATCTATCTTTGCATCCAGTTAAAGTTGATTCAATCATGTAATTCTTTGAATTGGAATATATATATGAATGCGATGCACGGTTGTTTGTAATTGCTTTGATACTGCAGATTCTATATTGAACACATTGACCATATTTTTGATAAATGTTTCCACCATCCCAACGATAACCTTGATTAGAATCAAAAACACAATATGATACAAGGAGTCGATTGCTAGAACTATCTTTGAGTCTAATAAGTTGTGCACTATGATTTGTGAATAAAACATCGTGAACATGAAAATTTCCTTCTTTATTCTCAAGGATTTCATCTGTTGTATGATCTGTTGAATTATATCCACCATAAAAGTGCTCCCAAACATCATTTATATAAGAGTAAATTCATTGGAGAAGGAAGTGGAAGACATTAAAAATTTGCTTTGTCGTTAATTCAATATCTATTCTGAATTTTTCAAATGATCTCACAATGTCAGAAATTGTTAATGAAAGAAACATTAAATACAAACTAATTTTTGAAATTTCATTTTCATTCATTTCAATTTCCATTTAACAATAAGTGAATTTTAGGCTTCTCATTGATTAATATGTTGATGTATATTCAAATCAAACCATTAACCTCAATATCAAGAAAAAAATTTCAAATCAAGTATAAAAATTAAGGAAATTTAACATAGATAGATTTATAAATGAAATTAAAACAACAAAAAATAGATATTAGCTAAAAGACAATAATAGTTTCTGGTTTTCCAAAACAATTAACAAGTTTTTGGTTGTCTTTGAAAGCAATTGCAACAGTTTCAAGAGCTGTCTCTTTCATAACATCTACAGATTCATTCTGAAGCGCAGGAAGGTATTTATCTATAAACATTCCTTGAATAATGTTGATTAACATTATTAATGCGGGTTTTAGCATCATATTTAGCTCAAGACGTGCGAGCATCATTTGTTTATTATCATCTATATTCCCTTTTTTGAGAATACTCTGGAAAGCCGGCAAATAATTTGAAAAAACTTCTCTAAAGATGTTTATTGACCTATTTCGCATCGAATGCCTCATGTAACTTCGCATTGTTGGGTCATCAATAACTTTAAACAGCTGAAACATGATTTCTGAGTAGTTATCATGGTTATATGTTGTAATTTTACCACAAAAATCAGCAAATATAGAAAGGAATCGTTTGTTGAAGTCATCTAATGGCGAATCCGGATATATTGATAAAATTTTGGATAGAACTACGCAGTGTGGAACGATTTTTAACATCATTTCATCATCTGTAGTGATTTGAATGGATTTGATCCTCATAAAGTCGAAATATCCGTATAACTTTGTAAGTCTACCATAAAATAATGTTAAAATTACATGGAAAAGTACAGATAATTTTGCAGATTTGGAAGACTTTGATAATTTGAGGACTTGGAAGTACGCGCAGCTTACTGTAACTGGATCTAACAATAATTCGCATATTTTGTTCGTTTGATTTGAAATAATCTGTATAATTAAATCATAAAGTTTTTTAAACACGTCCTGTGAAAATATTTGAGGTAATTCGTCTTCAGCTTGCTTGGCTATATCGTGGATATCTTGATAAGCCTTGCATAAAACAAAATCACGATTATTTTTGTACTCTTGAAAATTTTCAAATTCTAAAGAAATAATTTTAATTCTTTCATCGATATATGTGAACACTGGTCCATCAGTTGCTTGTTTTTCTGTATATAATTGAATAATATTGTTCAGTTTTTGTTTTATCGGAGTTATATATTTATCTAAGAACGTTTCGATGATTTCATTTGCAATTTTATAGTCAACATGCTTTACAAATTGGTACATATACTGTGAATTGCGTAATATCTTAATGTTATTTAAATTTGTAATATAGAAATTTCGAACTAAAGCGATTACTTGGTTAAATTTGTCCGTAAACATGGCCTTTGATGCTTTATCTGGTTTCCCTTTGTGAAAATATCGATATGACTTATAAGATTTTTCAATAAAAACCTCATTTAAGTCTTCCTCAATAGGTTCATTAATGTAAACAATAAATTCATCTGGCGAAGCCATCATTCGTTGATCTTCTTCATCATCTTCTTTTGGTCCTAGTTTGAGAAATGATAAAAACTTTTTCATTTGATTTTTTTAGATAAATTTTTACACGGTAAAGTGTCAAAAAATTTTATTGAGCATTACACATTTATCAGGTAAAGCAAAATCTTGATACACGTCACTTTTTATCTTTAAAAAAACAAAATAAATTATAGTAATTATGCATTTTCTTCTGAACTTAATAATTCCGGAATCAACTTTAAGACTTCTTGGATATCAGTAACAATATCGCTAAGATCATTCCATAATGGCATGTACTGTATTGGAGCTCCAGTTTGGATATCTTTCTCTAATTGTTGAGCTTTTGGTAACAATGATGCTAAGCGTTGCCTTACATATGCTTTGACCGCTCTTGCGATTTCGTACTGACAATAAATGCATATGAATGGATTGGCGTCCTTTGCGTTTTTAAGATGGACGCAATCTTCGTGAAGCTATTTCATGCAAGAATCACATTGTATCTGTACAGATGATCCATGTGTCAATCCACAAATACAGCGGGTTTCTTGAACAACTTCAACTTCACTATTTTCTGATTTTGGTTGGTCGTCTTGAGATAGCGGAGTATCGGAAGGCCCTGTCATATCAGGTGTAAGTAAGAACGCATTTGCAATTGCAAGATAGTTCTCAGGAATTGAAGGTTTATTAAATTTCCTTGAAACAATGGGGCCAGCGGCTATCTTCTTAACGATCGGTGTGGTTGGAGGAGCATTATCATGCAATAAATTGAGAAGTGATGATGAAGGCTTTTCTTCAGACATTACAACAATATTTTTTTTATCAACTTTAGCCTTATTTTTTCAAAGTCGAAATTTCAGGTTCCAACTCGGATCCAGAGAACAATCATAACAATCTAATATGTGTTTTTGATTCAAATTTAATAATGCATATTTGTTATGGCCGATTTTGGTTGAAAATGGCTAAAATATGGGAAATGGTTTTGGAGATATAATAATCCTCGAAAAGATCAGGCTTCTAGCCAATGATCACACAATGTTATGAAAGGCTATGTAACAGGCTTGCCTATAAACTCCGATTTTTTGATATTAATCGTAAAATTATCAGTATATTATTAAATTCGTTAGTGTAAATATCATTTGGTGCTATTTGTAAGTTTATATACTGATTGTCATGCTTCAAATCCTTTAATTTAGAAATCAATGGCATTATTTAAAGCCATATTCTTCTGAAATGACTTCCATTCGATCATGGTGGGGATGCATATACATAAAAATATCAAATGGCAAAATTCAGAGAGTTTTATTCCGCCTCTCAAAATTTCAATTCAATTATCCTTTTTTACGTTGAATCCACTCAACTTGTTTCGTGTATTCGAACAATACTTTTCTAATAATCTCTCAAAAAATTGAATAGTTCTATATTTTTTCAGATGATGTACCATTTTATCGTTAATCCAAGCAGCCAGAGCGGAAAATCCAAAGCATTATGGAAATTGATAGAAAAGGAGCTCAAAGAGCATCATATAGAATATAAACTTCACCTGACACAATTCGAATTTCATGCTACAAAAATCGTACAAGAAATATGCCAAGAGAAAGGTCAGAAAATTATTGTTACACTCGGAGGAGACGGAACAGTCAATGAGGTTATTAATGGTATCACTGACTTCGATAACGTTACATTTAGCTATATACCGACAGGCTCCAGCAATGATTTCGCGCGTGGATTAGGTCTTCCAACAAAGTTTAAGAAAGCTCTTGAATGCGTATTATATCCCAAGCGAACTCTTGAAATTGATGTTGGTGTTGTTGACTTTGGAGAGGATGAAACATACAAATTCGGTGTATCATGTGGAATTGGTTTTGATGCTGCTGTTTGTCACGAAGCTTACAGCTCTCCAATCAAAGATTTTCTAAATAAGTTTCACATGGGCTTCCTCACATATACAATCATTGCATTCAAAAATATGCTTACTTTCAAATGTGCAAAAGTTACTGTTACATTTGATGATAAAGACACTAGAATTTTTAATCAATGTTTATTTGTTGCATCAATGAATGATCCGTGCGAAGGAGGTGGACTCAGATTAGCTCCGAATGCTACACCATTTGACGATCATTTGGACGTATTCGTGATAAATACCAATAATAAGATCAAAATCTTAACGTTTTTCCCACTAGCATTTGTAGGCATTCAATCACTCTTGGATAGATTTAAAGAAGTTAGTATTATCAGGTGTCAAAAGCTTCATATTAAATCAGATCGTCCACTTCCTGTTCATAGAGATGGAGAGCCATGCAAATTCAGAACAGAAATGACTGTTTCTCTCCAAAAGAAAAAACTTAAAGTTTGTTCTTTGTAAATTTCTTTGTTTATTTATAAAAATGGGCTTATAGATCTAATAACTTTCGAATAAGCATACAAACAGTTTTCTAGTTGATTGTACCAGATGCTTTTGTCCAACTACTCTTGCAAATTGTTGTCAAAAATTTTATTGTTTCATAAAGATGGTCCGCAATAGCAACATATTTAAATCTGATGATTTTTGATCAAATTTTGATTTATTTTGGAGGAAATTCTAAAAATTTTGAAAGTCCGCCATAACTTTAATGGTACTATTTCAGCGTGTACAATGAATACAAAAATTCTAAGAGTGCCACATAAAATAGTACTTTAGACTTGAGTTAATGCTACCAAGCAAATGTTAAAAAGATGACTTTAGTGTTTTGATAATCAAAGATTAAAATCATTATTGTCTAAATCAATAATCATAACGACAGAAGTTAATGTTTTTTCATAAGTGCTTTAAATCCACTTTTAAAAGTATACCTCAAAAATCAAAATATCAAAAAAAAATTGGCCGATAGGTTTGGCTTTAATTTTTGTCTGCTTTTATGATTTGATATGGATGTTATAATTTTAAAAGTTGAGCCAAATTCACCAATAGATTTTTGAGATTTGCAAATACTCAATAATTTTCAGCGTGTTATCTTTTATTAAAAGAACTATTTGGTTTCAGTATCATATAAATTGATATTGACTTTCTATTTGAACCTTCATTTAGCTAATGATTTAATAATACAGATTTCATCTAGTCCTTATAAGAGAATTTTGAATTTGTTATAATAAAAAAACAAACAGATATAGCTTACACTTCTATAATAAAGATACCTTTTATAGAAATCAGTATGAAATGTTTTTTGGCTTATTGGAAGCATATCAGACATAATCGCCATAATCAAAAAATCTATATACCCAATAAGTAATAAATTTGTCGATATAGATTTTCCATAAAATTAGTTTTTAGTCTGATCTTAAAATAAATTTAATTTTTTATAAAAAAAATCACATTTAAAAGTACCTTTTTAGTAGCTCGAAATCCTGTTGGTGGATTTGGGGCGTACTTCAAAATTCGCTTTTCTTCTACATATGCAAGCTATATTTAGGGCTGTACAAGATTTAAAAAAACATTGCCGGGTTACCGTAGAGGCCTAAAAAAATCGCGCCTCGGCGGCAAGCCGCCTCGGCATTAAGAATGCGCATCTAAATTTTTATATGTCCTTCTTTCTTTTATTTTTCCCTTCCCTTTCTTTTCTTTTTCTTTTTTTTCCCTCCTCTTGCTCTCATTTACCTTTTTTTTCCTTTTCTCATCATTTTTCAAAATTTTAAATTTTTATCAAAAATCTTGCCTATAAAAGCAGACTATGGAACCTTTTAATGCCTCTTAATCAATATTATACAGCATAAAGCATATTAAATGAAAGTAATTACGTATAAATTTATTTTATTATCTTATTTATTAATTCTTTAGCATGTATTGTTTAATATTAACTTTTCTGTACATTAAATATGATATCTCCAAAGTATGAATGCCTTGTAACGAAACGAAAACTTAATTTTATGTTGAATATTTGTCACAAACATTAGATTATTAAAATATATGTTGGATATCCCTTAGTATGAGACTTCATGACTCTTGTAGTCTAACGTGAGCTTTGGATTGCAAGCTCTGTGGTTAACGAACATAAATTAATTGTAAAGTTTTCAAAATTTTTCATCGTTTCTATCAGCATCTATTTTTCCTTTAAAATAATATATTTGTATGAATACAATATTTAGTAATTTTTTTATTTCCCATAATTTCATTCAAAATTTCAGAAAAAATTAATTTCTATTCAATATTATTTCAGCTTCAAAACACTTCATTCTTATAGATGTTGATTCAATAAAGTGTGATACTCAATGTCTTATTTCAATGAAAATTGTTCTGCAAATTTATTTCACTTTTGACCTCACTTTTTCCGTAATTCAATTTTTTACTTTTAATATTTTAGATCTTCATAATATCATTTGAAAAATTAACCATATAAAAAAATCAAGTTAACAATTCACTTTTTCCGTAATTCAAAAATCAAAAATATAAATAATATATCTTTTTATCAAATATTATTATTATATTCTATGAAAAATGAGGTCCGGAAATTTTGCGGATTCCCGTAACTCAATTTTACGGAAAAAGTGCAGTAAACTATTCAAAATACGGAAAAATTGGTGTAAACTAATGATTTTACGGTAAAATCACGGAAAGTCCCGGAAGAATATATGTGCCTATATGAAATTATACAAAAATGAATCAAACGCATTTTAAAAGATTGTTCTTGTATTATAAATGCTATTCGCAGATTTATTAGTTGAAGAAAATTACCAAATTTTTGCCGATTTACAAAAAATGATTTACAAAGCATATTTTTATAAGGCTTTAAAAATCTTTAAAATGTGACCGGTGACGGAAATCCATGGTAACCAACCGCGGTTCCCGTTTGGAATGCCATAGCTATATTTTAAATATGGAGCAAATCGGATCGGCGAAAGGAGTTTAGTTACCTTTATTTCCAATTCGATTTTTGCATGACCATTAGCAAGATTGTGAATTCATAGCTTTCATTACTTGCCGAATCAAATTGTGGTTTTTCTGAAATCTCGTTTTCCAATAAAAATAAACCAGATTTTTTTTTGCCGTCAAAAAGCAATTTTTATTTTATGACTTCTCCTCAATCTGAATACTGCAACATTGTTTTCAATCAACTATTTAAGACAGAAACAAAAGAAATATCACAGCCTAAAGTAGATTTTGCTAAAAGTTCGGATTCACAACAAAATTTCGAATTTAATAATTTAGATCTCATGACATCAGCTTTAATGGCTGTATCATCATTACCTGATGACAATGAAGCAAATAAATTCACTACAATACTCCAAACGAATATTATGAAAAAAACAAATTTGATAACGGATCGTTCTGAATGGGATATACCATTCATCATTTATTTAATGGACAAAATACCGCATTCCATAAATTATTCCGAAATTCCTCTCTCATGTATGCCAATAATAACAATACTCTCACAACTTTACTCTCTTACAATCTATAAGAACATGGATCGAATAAATGCAATTGTTAATACGATTTCCTACCAAGTATCACACGATTACTCTCATATTTCTCGACTTGTTTTTTCCGCCATGTTAAAAATGCATATTTTGCAGCCAACACATGCAGAATCGGTCACAAATAAGTATATAGGAGTACTCTTCCGATCAATATTCGAATATCTCTTCTTTATTCCAAATACTTCGAAATTTTTCTTGATTTCAACAACAGAAACAGCGGAAAAACAAGACTACAAGCAAATATTATATACATACTTACACTCTACACTGCCAAAATTCACTCTTTGCTATCAAGTTCGAACAAATGAAAAATTTATTTGGGAAGATGCAGAATTAGCAGACTTATACTTACTAGCTATTGAATCTTTCCAAGATTACGTATTCCAACCTACAAATTCATTGCTCAAACTACCAGATTTGTATCTGATCTACGCTTTTACACTTTCTATTGGTCTGGAGCATAAAATTCACTTCACCACATTCCAGAGCCACATTAGAATCCTCACAAAAAATATTCCGACCAAGAAAAAACTTACAGGTGCTTACAGCCAGTTGTGGATAATTTACATGGCTGGTTTGCTGCATACTTACATGGTTACTGATAGGAATCATACTTCCCATATATATCTTCAAGAAGATGCCACTTCTTTCTCAAGAAATATTTATAATAATTACGGAATGAAGTTGCGATGGGGAGAATCCATTGATTCATTCGATAGTTGCTTCAAGGAGTACGGTCATCACTTCGCTTATACGATTCTCGAAGAATTTTCTGAGATAGAAAATCAATTTGTTGAATATTCAAAGGTTTTAGCGAAGGATACAGTTCAGTTCTATCAGGATATCGTTAACAATGTCGATATTATCAACAAATCCTATGAAAATTCAAAGAATTTACTCAAAGATGTCAAAAAACAAATTAAACAGTCAGAACAACCTTCAAATGTACCAGAACTTCATTACAAACTATTTAATAGAGTTTATCCTAATAATTTAAGAAATATATTTGTAGAAGATAAGAAATTCAACGAAAAACAAGAAGAAAAACCAGCAGATTACACAGAATTTCTCAAACAAAGGGCTTCTCCAGTTGAAAAAGAGACAACAGATCAAAGAAAAGACAAAAACATCAAATTAAGAATTCCTGCTAAACTTGTGAAGCTAAACAAGGCATACGATGGTGTCTTTACTGTTACTAATGAAGCCATTCTCTTTGATTACTCGAAAAAGTTAAGAATAATTTTAGATGATATAAATGGAGTTTATTTCAGGACATTTTTATTATTAAATACCGCAATTGAAGTATTTACACGTGATTATCATGCTTACTTCTTTGATTTCGCTCCAGGAAACAGACAATCAGTTATTGAAGCGATTTTAACTTCAAACAATCGAATTCCTTTTGTTCAGACATCGGATAATGACATAAAGAAGCGTATTGTTGATGTCCAAGAGAAATGGTGCGGCGGACAAATGACTAATTTTGATTATATCCTTAATTTGAACATTTTAGCCGGAAGATCATACAACGATGTTTGCCAGTATCCTATTTTCCCATGGGTTATCAAGGATTTCGACTCCCAATCCTTGGATCTCAATGCAATTGACACTTACAGAGATTTGACCCAAAGAATCCAAAAATGTGACATTTTTATTTCGCCACAATTTGTTTTGCGAAATCTTGATTTCAAAAACGATTGTGATATTAACGAACTATGGGAATCCCAGAAAACAGAATTAATTCCTGAATATTTTTACATGTCAGAAATTTTGACAAACCAAAAATTACCGAAATGGGCACAAAACTCCTCAGATTTCATCACTAAAAACAGAATGGCACTGGAAAGCCCTTATGTCACAGCAAAACTCAATAACTGGATCGATACAATCTTCGGAATAACATCGAGATTAAACACTGACCAAATATTTTTCGAAGAAGTTTTAACCGAGGAAGTAAAAAGTGACAAAGGGAAGTTGACTGAAATTCAAGAGTTTATTTCACAAAACGGACAAGGCTGTAAGAAGTTATTTACAGAGAAACATCCATTCAAGAGGATGATCAATCCACCGTTTACTCCTTGTCCAAGAACTATTTCTGTTTTCTATGAATTTTCGAGTTCCCCTGTTTTAGTTTTGGACCATTTCGACCAAAACACAGTTAGAGTTGTCTCCCAGGACTTAACTGTAATGACGTACTCTTCGAAATCTCTCTCTTTAACAAAGAACAAACTCGAAACTCGTTACCAAATAAAACAAAACGAATTTTCGACGGTTTGCCTAAAAAGTGACAAAATTATTTGGTCACTTCCCTTTGATGCTGGTTTCAACGTTACAGATAACAACAATGAGACTAAACTGATGCCGAGGATACACAATGACATGGTTACTGCTATTTCCGTTGACAAAAACATTGTTTTAATTGGAAATTCAGATAAAAAAGTGTCAATTTGGAAAAATGAAGAATTTATTTACGGAGAAGATGCGCATGACAGCAAAGTAACATGTGTATCATTGCTAGTAGAGAATGACATGGCAGTTAGTTGTTCAAAGAAAGGAGAAATCATGTTGTCGATGATTTCTAATGGAAAGAAAGTGAAAAAGATTAAGGAGAACAAAGGAACTCCAATATTCTGTCGTATGATGCATGGTGGATATGTATTCGTTGCTTTTAATAACGAGAATATGTCTTCTTTGGCTTTGTACGATATTAACTTGAAATTAATCACATCTTTCGCAACGAAAGAGAAATTTGAGTGCGTAAATGTCTTCGAATGGAATGCTGGCTCGTCATTTGCTGTTTTCACCCTTAAAAACAGTAAACTCGCTATTGTTCATATGCCAATGGGCAAATTAGTTTGGTCTAAGGACTCTATTGACTTCAATGTGACGGCAATAGATTATATAGCTGAATTTAATCTTGTCTTGTTCGGAACAAAACAAGGAAAAGTAATGACTTTAGCTCTTTTTGATTGAAATTTGTTTTTTTATATGAAAAAAAAAGTGAAAAATATCTTTACTGATATTGGCACTTTTTTGTGTTTACAAAAATTTTAGAATGTAAAAGTGACAAAATTTTCCGTTGAAGATTTTTTTTGAAAATTCAAATGACGTTTATTCACCCTAAATCTAAACATTCTAAGAATATTATTCAGGAGTATTATCCTCATGTTGAGCTACCTGATAGTATTCCATGTCCAATTCCACTTCCAAATGAATATTTGAAGATGGGAATTCCAATGGATCAGAATGAGATACAAGAAAACAATGCTTTCATCATAGATGGAAGTGATGATGAGAATGAAGCTAGTTTACCTACAAATCCTTCAATAGATGACAAAAACAAAAATAAATTAACAGAAAACGATATCAATCAAGGAAATTATCCATTGAAGAAGAAATCAAAGCAAGTACAGAATATAAAACGTCGCAAATTTAAACCAGCAATGATAAGAAAGACGGAACAAGAAAATGAAAGCGATAGTGATTCATTAATGCAAGTAGAAACAATACAGAAACTACCAAATGAGTCAGATCTTGACTTATCTTTGATGGAAACTGGCCCTCAAAAGAAACAAAAAGATTGGAAGAAGAAAACTCAATTACAGAGGCCAAAACCCGTATCGCCAACAAAAATTGATGATATACCAGAGCTTAAAGAAGAAATGGAAGAAGAAAAACCAAAAATTAATGAAGTTGATTGGAATTCAAAGGAACAACCAAAACAAACTGTTATTATTATTAAACCACCAGAGCCAATATCCGAAACTCACGACACTCCTAAGATTCCTTTGCAAATTCGTCCTCCATCAGCTGATAAACCAATGCCATCGTTGCCAAGGACACATGCGGCGGCTATTAATCCAAGACTCTTAAAGGCAAGACCAAAACCGCCAACTTTACTAGCAAATGTCAGAGCTCCAGAGAATCCAGAGTGCGAAAGGCCTTTAAGTGCTCCAGATAATGAAAGAATGCCAGTATATGTAAGACCAGGACAAAGACCAGCATCATATTCCTCTCAAAACCAAGAACCAGTGAAAATTGAAATAAAATCAGAAAATAAGCCGGAAGAAAAGAAAGAAGAAGAGAAGAAGCCACAAATAGAATTTGTTGAACCAGATAATGAGAACGTAATTGCAAAAGGATCAACAGATCAAATAGAATACATTTTATCTTCAAAGAAACTTTCACAAGGGAAGAGGAAGAAAGAGGAGAAGACCCACTACACAGTATCATTCGAATCAAAGATGCATCTTGGAATGGTAAGAAATTACGTTCGAATTTTTGAAAATTGTGAACCTTTGTTTAGTTTGAAGACTAAGAAGACGAAAGAAGATAAAGAAATTGCTGTATGCAAAGGACATGATGCACACATCAATTCGTCAAATAAAGATGGAATTATCATTGTTGCGAATAATGCAACAGATTTCTCATTGAGAGAAGGTTCAAACATAGGAACAGAACTTGTTACAGTTCGTACAAACCTTCCTGATGGAAAATCTAAATCAAGAAACAGAATTTTCGTTCATAATCTTGAAAATTCAAAAGCTTCAGTGGGATTAACTGGGTTCGTTGAAGAAAACCAAATTAATAAGATGTCTTTCAAAGATGGACATGATAATATATGGATTAAATTGACATTTTTAGGATCAAATACAATTAATGCTGAATGCAATAAGTATATTGATCCAATGAGATGCTTAACTATTTGTTTCGCTCTATTCACGGCTAAGGATGACTGAATTGTCCACTTTTGTTTTGTTTTGTATTTTAATAAATATTATTTCTATATTGTTTAATTTATAATTCATAGCATAGCCTTATTCTTCTTTAATCTCAATATATCAATTAGTATTTTTTGTGAAATCTTCAACTTGTCAAGATATTCAAAATTCATTCTTTCATGTGAAGAAATAAAATGTCTAATTTCTCTACATTAACTGTGTACACTGCATTGATATTATATTACAGCATTAAATTCTTCTATTGTCATTGTTTTTGACCTTATTGGATTCTTTTGAGAATATATTTTCACAGTTTTTCGTTGTTTTTCATTTAAAAATTGATATTACTTTATAATAGGCAATGAATAATAAAGAGGCTCATAAAAAATAAATAAAATTTGACACTTTTTGTAAAGAAATATTATAATAGGAAATTAATATACATTTAATAATAAGTAGATTTTTTAATTATATTTTTGAAAGTGTATTATTTTCTGAACTTTACATTTAAATTATGCATAAAATCTGTTGATAAAAATGAACATAAAATATTATCTACTGATAATATGATATAAATCTAGATTTTTTATTTTCTTCAATTTAGCGAGGCAGTTTTAAGAAGGATTGAATATTGTTTCATGCCAGTTTCATCTCCTGAACTCATTGGAGCAATAAGCAATGCTATAACTAGTACAGAATGTACTGCGCCTTCAGTTACAGTACAATACACTGCTTATTCTCTTGGCGCTTCAATTATTAAACCAATGGTTGTACAAATGAAATGGGACAAACCGATTTTGGAACTAAATTCACAAATTCTATCTGAAATGGTTTTGAATTATGCAATAGTTTACGGAATCCCTACAGTCAAAAATCATCCAGATAAAATTGTTCAGTATATTACTAGCGGTGCTGCTGTTACACTATATTTCAAGCTACTTGCAAGACTTCTTGAGGATATTGATGTCGTTATTAATGATACAAATCTAATTTTATACGAATTTTTCCAGAAAAAGATCCCATCTGACGTGATTTTTAATGGATTGAAGAATATTCGTGAATATGCAGATAATATGTCCGAAATTTGTCAGTATGCAGACATGGAAATTGCTATTTTGCCTTCCGAATTCCAAATTACACAAACCTTTGACAGGTTTAAAGCAGTAATTGATAATATCAATACACTTTGTAAGTTAATTGAAACAATTATCAATACATATCTTAGAAATCCCCAACAGGTTGTCAATTATCAAGTTCAATATGAAAAATTGCATGAAATTACATCAACGAATGTCCCTGTATTTACGAGATTGTTTTCTTACCTCGCTGATCAAGCAAGTTCCCAATATACACCAGTTTTTGAAGAAAATGAATTTAATAGCTTCTGCAATTATCTTAAATCGCTGAATGATATTGTATCTAAGGTAGTTTTAGTAACTTTCAAGATTACAAAGTACAATCCTCCATCATTTCCTGCAATTCAACAAATATTGGATCAATTACTTGTCAGATTTTCGATCATTACTATTAAAATGACCAGTTTAATGAGATTCAGAGGTGATTACAACGACGACATAGAAGAAGTCGAAAAGGCTTACAAAGAAATTGGTCAAACTATCAAATCTCTTTATGATTCATTAACGCAGACATTGGCCACGATTCCTGCTCCAAGTAGTGTCCTCATTGGAAAGCGATTGAATGAGACTTTTGAAACTTTGGCACAATTATTAAGTCCATTAACTCAAAAACTCAATTCAGTTGAGGAATCGATACACTCTGACCCTAGGTCATCTGTGTTCCAATTCCACAGTAAGTCTTTTGAGACAGAGCTCGTAAGAAAAGCTCATCCATTTATCAAAGCTCAAATCTTGTTGACATGGAACTTATTTAACTATCAAATCCCTATTGAACAAGTTATAACTGAATGTTACAATGTCGAAAGCTTCTTCCAGAGCTTCAATGAAGCGATATCAAAGTTCATTTCCGAATCTAACAATACACATCTTCAAAAACGCTACGGAAGACAAAGAGCGAACATATTCTACGAATATACACAGTTTGTTCAGTCTCTCTACAATCTCCAGCAAGATATTAAAAGTACTTCTGTCAGATCTTTCGTTGCAATGTGCAGCATCAAACTTATCTTTGCTCTTTGTTCATTGGACAACGATCAAGTCATCGAAGATGCTTTGGATGCCCTTAGAAAAGGCCTTGCAGTTAAGAATGCGATGATTTATTCTGAAGAAAAGAACACAGTTGTAAAATTGCTTGAAACAGTTTCAGTTTATGTAAATCCTGCTGATAAACTTGCTCAAACAATTTTGGCCATTTCTATCAAGATGATCATTGAATCTGCAGATAAGATCCCTCAAGACATTCAACCAGAAGATTACGAAAAAGTCACCCATGTATTAGACCAAAATTACAACATTGGATTAGCAATGAGCGCGATACAAACATCTATTCCAAAAACATCTCAAACCCAATCTTTGTTGTCACAGCTTGACATCTACTCCCAGATTTTCATGAAGTTCAGTCATGGCTACAGAGTTGCAATAATGATGCAGACTGCTCATGAAGGGGAAACATTGATGAGAGCAATGACGCAAATGTTGACATCATTGAATAACACAGGTGAGAAAACGAAAGCATTAAGAGAAAGTGCTTCAGATTGTGTTGCATCATTGAAGAATGTTTTGTCGAAGCCGCCTCCTTACGGTGTTTTTTACAGAAACTACATGACAGATATGTTCAAACTGATTACTTCTGCTTATAAAGAAGTAACTCAAATGACTTGGGAATTCGAGCAAATATTTGTTGATTCAAATGATTCGGCAAATATAAGAAATTCAATTATGACATGCAACAAATGCGTTGAAAATGTGATTAAAACAATGCCATTTGTTCACAGATTATTCCATGAGAATCGTTTAGAAGTTCCTGCTTTGTCTGGTGTTATTGCAAAGGATTCGATTGAGAAATGCATTCAGCAGATAAAGCACTTGCAGAGTGATCCTGTTCAGAACTATGTTTCGGCTTTCAACACTGTGATCAAACTCATTGAAACATCTTATGATATAGGAACATTCACAGGATTTAAGAATATTGCAAATTCCCTCAAACAAAATGCAGAGCTTTTGGATTCTGTTGCAACAAGAATCGCTTTAAGTGGCGGTACTGTTAACGAAGACATTAAACTCGCTCTTAAGGGTGTTGAAGAAGCACAAAAGAGATTAATTCCGATATGTGAAGCTCTTGAATTCGAATTAGTTAGTATGCAAAAATAACTAAATTTTTTATAAATATCTATTTTCTTCATACTATTTATTTACAAGTATTTGCTTTATAAGCTGAGTTCAACTTCTCTTCATACAAAGGGGAAAAAATGGTCTTTGTCATGTTTACATTAAGATTTCAATTGTAATTAAGATTTTGTGCATCTATTGTATTGATATTAACAATGAAGTCGATATTTAAACATATTTTTAGATTTTGAGACAATATTTTGGGAGTATTTTTATTGTTGTCTGGTGGTTTTATACGACTCCAAATATCATGCGTGTTTACACAATATGTATATAGATGGAATTGATGTTCTTCCTTTATTTAGGTACCAAAACATGCTTGTAAAATCTGTTTTTTAGACGACAATGATAATTTTGTCACTTTTTCCAGACGACATTAAAACATCCTCATATTTTGGTCTATAATATTCTAATTTATGTTTTCATTGATCTAATCCACAATGTTTAACGAATACATAACTAATAAATTTCATTTCACGCATAATTATTGTTTCATCATGTTGGAAAGTTTGATAATTCAAATTGTGTGTTAAAAATGCTTGAAGTATCGATGTTTCTTTATTGCTGTGCATTTTGTATGTTAAAATCATATTCTAAGCGCCTTATTTCAATTTAATTTGGGAAATTATTTAAAAAATTAAAAATTATTATAAAAAATATTTAGTATTATTAATTAATAACCAATACTTGATAGTCTATCAATGGTTGAAGTTTATCAAGTGAACGTGCATGTAATCTAATCTTATTAGCCAATCCAAAGAATCGAATAAGTAATTTATTATCTTTGTATCTAAATTCTGCATTCATTATCTTGTTAATTATCAAAATATTCATATTTTTTGCATCTTCATTGTTTGGATCTATTTTTTGTAACTTCTTATACCATTGCAGAGCATTAGCGTATTTTCTCATATCTAAATACGCATCTGCAATCCGTAGATATGGTTTGACGGATTTTTTATCAAAAATTATTGCGTGAAGACAGTTTGAAATGGCCATTTGAGGATGTGATAAAGATATGTATGCAGCAGCTCTATTTGAATAACACATTGAATTACTTGTATCCATGAAAATTGAAACATCATATTTTTGTAATGAAGCAAAATAGGATTGTGCGTTATAAAGGTCATTGCCTGCCTTTCTTTCTACCTCAGATTGTGCCTTGTCAATCGTAATTCTTTTCTTTAATAATTTATTTTTCCTTTCATCGAAATCTTCTAAGTATTCTTTCATTTGTTGTGGTGATTTACGGAATTTTTGAGTTCTAGGAACTGATAAATGTTCTTTATAGAACAGGCTTTCGTCAGAACCTAGAGGAGCTGGTTCTGTTTCATCTTCTGGTGGTTCCGATTCAAGACTTTTAGTTCCTTCTTGGCACATGAGATCCATCAAGCTATTTATTGCTTTTACATCGGATTCATTAAGGAATCCGCAGTAATATTGTCTTGGTTTTTTAACAAATTGCGCAAACTTTTTGAGATTTGATTGTGGAACTAATGATGCTAAGTTTTGAATAACATTATCATTAACTTCCTCAAGAATTGGATGAGAAAAAACAGAATTCATTGTAATTGAAAAGTGACAACAATAGCAACTTTAGCTTTATCTTTACTAAACAGATAACACGTCTAGTTTAGATGTAAGAAATTATACTTCTGAATCTAGTAATGTTTGTTTTATGATGATAAATATCTATTTCTGTATAAATCACATGTTATTCTCTATGTTTGAAAGTTATTTAATAGATAGTTGCAATAGTCTATACGTCAAAATACCGTTATTATTAATCAGCATATTACATGATAAACCAGACGCTTTCTTATTGAAATTTGTTTAAAAGTAAAAAATATAAATCTTTTAAATGAAAGTAAAATATATAGATTGCTGACGAAAATCCTATGTTATAGCATCATCATTTTAAGTATTCAGAATTTGAGTTGGTTACACATTTATAAGAAGTTAGAAGTTCTACAATTTCATTACAAGGACACTCTTTTACATTTATATTTGCTCCAGATGAAATAAGAAGCTCTACTGATTTTTTATTATTGTTCAAAGCTGCATAATGAATTGATGTTTTTCCTGTAAAATCTTTTTCATTAGCATTTGTCCCTTTGGTAATAAGGATTTCGATTACTTCATTACTATAATTTTGTACAGCATTATGAAGTGGAGTCTTTCCTTTATGATTTTTTGCATTAATATCTGCTCCATGTGAAATAAGAATGTTGCAAGTTTTTGATTATTATTTATAGAAGCAAAGTGAAGAGAAGTTTTACCATCAAGTCTTTCATTTGCATTAATGTCGGCTCCATGAGTAATTAGAATTTGTGCTATTAGTTAATCTTTATATAGAAATTACAAATATTTTTATGGTGTTTTTGTAAGTTAATCTTCATATAAGACTCTCCATTTGCTAATTGTGTCAATAATATAGTATTTGAAACTATCATCATTAAAATTTTCGAATTCCAATGAAGTTAGAATTTTGTCCAATTCTTTTTCTTCAAATTGGAAGTATAGAATCTTCTGGTTTTCAATAGGGCATTTTCTAATAAGATATACTATTACTTCTATAATATATTCTAAGTTATTACTGTCTGTTGTTTCGATATCATCAATAATGTACGATATTAAATTATTTTGTATAAATATTGGTGAGTATTCTTCACCAATTGAGATAATCAAGCATTTAATGAGTTTTAGAATTGAATTTTTGACTTTGAAAGTAGAATTCTCGAGGATATATACAGTTTTATCAATAAATGCTTGTGAGCAAAATAGGGTTGCAAGCTGATCTAAATTAATTCCAAAATCTAATGAATTGCAGAGTAATGTTTGAATTACATGTAAAAAGAAGTTGTGGAAGTTTATAATACTCATTTCATCTTGCATTTCAATATATTCTTGGAAAATTGCTGCATAATCAATTGACCTGGCTATAAATGATGAAAAGTCTTTGTTTTCAAGCTTAAAAACTGCAATTAATAATTTATAAATGGAATGATAATTATGAGCATGTGATGCAAGAATAATAACAGAATTGACGCATTCTGCAAATTCTTGCGTAAATTCTTTCATTTCTAGCATAAATTTTGATGTTATTCTGGAAAAAAGTGCAAGATTTGATTCATTTGGTCTTAATTGTGAAAAGTATGTGCATATTTGTGGATTTTCATCTATATTTGACATAAATAAGTAAACTCCTAAAACAAAATATTCTAATTCTGATTGATAGAGAGAATTTAAAATATTAAAATCGATTATATTAGCTATTATGGGAGATGCATGTAGAAAAGATTTTTCTATTATAATAATGAACTTAAGAACTAGATCTGCATTATTTGAATTAAGCATTGAAATAATCTTTTCAAACTCGTTACTATTGACAAAGCCATCAAGGAATTCCGAACTCAGTGAGCATAGTTTATGCAGAAATAATAGGATTCTCTCCAAACTAGATCTTTTGTCATGTTCAATTACATTTTGAATTAAAATTTTCAATTTATCTATGAAAACTTGTTGGTTAAATATACTTTCTTCAGATGAAGCTAGTTCATTATCTTTTGCTAGGCAAATTTTTCCAATGATATCATTGATTAAATTTTCATCGGTTGTTTCTGTTAATTGAATTAACAGTGAATTAAAATCTATTTCTTCGTGTTTATCTTCATGACTAATTGATAATAAATCGCTTGGTTGGATACTGATTTCAAACGATTTATAAAAGTCAATCATAAAAATATAAAACAAGTTGAAAAATAACAAAGTATGTGATAAAAATAGCAGTAACTAATATATATTAAACACTTTTAAAAAATAATAACACAAGCGAAAGCGTTGTATTGGCAAAAGAGTGACTTTTCGGACCAAAAAAGAAATCAGCTCACATAACAATACATTGTTTGATCTCCAAAATAAATGGAACCTATGATCGATATGGAATGGCACAAAAATCCATAAATTATATAACCGAAAATGTTGTGATCATTGTTTTCCAAATATAACATAGCAACTTTTCTTATAATGAATTTTAAAGATATTTTCTATTGCAAAATCCGATTTCGGATTTTTAAATTTTTTCATGTCTGATCAAGACATTCATACAGATAAATACAGCGAATTACGAAGTAGTCATAAATGCTACATCGATATATATAATGCGTTATATCAGCTAAAAACAGAAAATGAAGGAGAATTAAACTCGATTTACAATTTAATCAAAAAAGAATTGATTAATTCAAAGAAAGACCTACCCCAAAGCGTAATGGAAGAAATTTTAGATATCATTAAATTCAATAATCGGTATACAATGTCATATTTATTTCTTGCCAAACTCATATTTGATGAATATCATTTGGAAGCGGTCACAAATAATAGATTGATTACTGACATCCTGCTTTACCAAGAATTAGGTATTAAATTGGGCATTTCTATACCAGAATATCTGGATTTTCATACAGAAAATTTCGATATTCATACAGAAAATACAATCTACAGAACAATTATATATAATGACCTTAAAAGATTCATCTCACTCACGGAAATAGAAGGATTTAGTGAATATCAAAAACTTGACAGCAAATTATATCCATTTATTCCCCAAGGCTTATCATTACTTGAATTATGTTGTTACCATGGAGCAGTTGATTGTTTCAAGTTCTTAAGAACGAAATTTAACTCAGAGATAACTCAAAAGTGTCTAGAATTTTCATTTTTAGGAGGAAATCCAGAAATCATGAGTGAATGTTTGAAGCATAAGAAACCAGATAGATTTTGCATGGAAAATGCAATTATTTCACACAACATTGATTTTGTTACATTCTTGATGAATGAATACAATATAAAGATCGATCTAACAGATTGCGTCATTTATAATAATCTTGATGCATTTTTAGTTTATATCGATCAAATTAATGATATTAATCAATGCTTTATTTACTCATGGGATTTTAATATTCCATCCCTTTTAGATTACTTCATTATACATGGTGCAAATATCAATGAAAAAGATGAAGAAGGAAATACGGCACTTCATATTGCGGCACTATATAATAGTAAAGAAACAGCCGAACTTCTTATTTCACATGGTGCAAATATCAATGAAAAAGATTCTGAAGAATCCACAGCTCTACATTCTGCAGCCTGTAATTGTAAAGAAGTCGCCGAACTTCTTATTTCACATGGTGCAAATATTAATGAAAAGGAAGAATTTGGAAATACGGCACTTCATATTGCGGCACAATATAATAGTAAAGAAACAGCCGAACTTCTTATATCACATGGTATAAATATCAATGAAAAAGATAAAGATGGAAATACGGCACTTCATATTGCGGCACAATATAATAGTAAAGAAACAGCCGAACTTCTTATTTCATATGGTGCAATTATCAATGAAAAAGATAAAGATGGAAAAACTGCTCTACATTATACAGCAAAACATAATAGTAAAGAGACTGCCGAAGTTCTTATTTCACATGATGCAAATATCAATGAAAAAGATAACAATGGAAAAACCGCTCTACATTATGCAAATAGTTTCTTTAATAAAGAAATGGCTGAACTTCTTATCTCACATGGTGCAAATATCGATTAAAATGATGATGACATAATTTTTTATTTTTAATGATATCTGCAAGAATATCATGTTTCTAATTGTCCGAAAGAGTTAAAACATAGTGTGAAGATATAAACTTACCACGATTCTTTAGTCCTCAAAATCAAATTTGATATAATACAATTTCTAACCTTAAGTGCCTACGCTTCTCCTTCGGCAAAATAAATACATATTGATTATTGGAAAAGTGTTTATTAAAAATAAATTCAAGTGTTAATTTTGACCAGTCTGAATCAATTTAGAGGATATTTTTAGATATTAGAGAATTTTCTAAATAAATTTTGAAAGTAAAGTACTTATTAAGTATATGTTGGGACTTGTATACACTGATAATTTATTTAATGTCGTAATTCTATTGGCGTGAAGCGCCGATAGAATTGAATGAAAATAATATTACAAAACAATAGAATTAAGAAATTGATCGAAGAGGATATGGTATTCCTTCTACTTTAAACTGTTCCTGGACGTAGTTATTCAAGAGGTGAAGGCATTGAACAGGTAAATCATTCATTTTTATATGAAAATCTTGTAATTGAGTAAATTCATCAAATTCCTGAAATGCTCTTATTATTGAGATCACTCCTTTCGTAATTCGAGGATTTTCACAATTTTTGATTGATAAACTAAGATCTTCGAGTTTATCGAACGAAATTGTTTGATATATTGGTTTATAATCTTTATCATGAATTCTCTGTGCTATTTGAATAAAATTGTCTGGAGGATTTTTTAGAAGTGTTACTAATTTTGAACATTTTGCGTCAAATGAAGTATTATTGTCTATTACAAACTTCTCTTTCATTTCCTCATTAAATTCTGTTTCTAAATCAGATAATGAAAGTTCGCGAAATAAATCTTTTGCAATCTCCTTATAGCTCTCGAAAATAGCATGTACGTCATTCACGAAATCATTTACATGATTGTATTCTAAACAAAACAATTTATCTTTAATTTTATCGAATGTTAGCTTGTTTTCATCGATATAATTCTCGTTTGAATGTGTTTGTCTCGGTAAAAAGAGCTTTAGTATTGGTCTTTTCATTAAATTGTCAAGAACCTCTAAGCATATCTTGACTTCGGCGCATTTCATAAATAATAATGAAATGTTTTAAGCTTTAAATCAATATTGTATGATGTAAAGATCTCATTATTATCAAGAAATATAGCTATAAAAGAAACAAAATACGAATTTAAAATTTAATTATCAATTATGATACATTCTTTCCATATTGTTGATATATATTGGCTACATACTTTTTGTTCGCAACTAACGTGGAGAATATTTTGATAATATTTTTAGAATAACTCATATGATCTCATGAAGCTTAAAATTTATACGAGTTTTATGGTGCGCTTGATGCACCAATTCATCACAGATATAGTGAATACCTTTTTCAGAAATGAGTTTTATATATGTAACTAAAACATGACTGAGCGCCTTGTACGTTCTTTCATAGCATAATTAAGCTAATTAAAAATGTATTTTGGCTAACTGAATGCTGTAATTCCACTTTGTTTCAATGAACTTGATCAAATACTCATTTTAATATATGGATTTCAGATATGTGTCTATATTCCTAAAGTTGGTATCAAATCTTTACCAATTAACTTTTCATTTGGCACAATTGAAATCATGGAAAAATTTATCTGAATTTTAGCAAGATCTATAGATTTGCAATTCATATAGTAAGATAATGTATTTGTTTGAGTGTTATTAAATAAAAAATTAAATTCTGATAAGAAATAAATTTTTATGATTAGAGTTCTTTGTTGTATCCTGATGTTTCATCAGTATCGGGGTTGCTAAGACCGATAAGGACGTCGGCCTGGTACTTCTCCTTCTCCGTCTCGTTGAGGGAGATTCCAGTGTTCTGGTTAATGAACTTTTCGAGGTTTGGAAGTGTAAATGCCTTCTCAAAGACCTTGTATTGGTTGGATTTGGCCGGGTAAACTAAGATTTGTGGGTAAGAATTGTAGATGTTGATTCCAGCTGGAACATCGTTTCTTCCCTGGTCGAAGGCCCATAACTTGAGGTTCTTTTCTTTGTAGATTTGGGATCCGACGTTGAAGACTGTTGAATATTCAACTGGAACTCCGACACATGTAGAAGTAATGATAACGAGGCTGTTATAGTCCTTGTTCCAGAGCTTATCTGTGTAATCGAGGACGGAAAGCTCGTTAACTCCATCGCGTTCCTTTGTACGGATATCTTCGGCGACAATTGGCTTGACTTGGCCAGAAATGACCTTGTCGAGGTATTCCTTGAGGCTGTCCATGGATTCTGTCTGTCCGTATGTGGCAAGGCCATAACGTTTGGCAGAGATATTTGATGTCTCAACAACTAAGAAGAGTGGACCGCAGATGTTTGTGATGTTGGCAATTTGAGCAATGTGGGCGACGAATACTGAGGAGTATGCGGTGAAAGCAACCTTGTTTTGATAAAGATCTGACATATTCTTCATCAAATCAAGCTTGAGCTTATCATTGTAGTCGTCATCGTTGTTGATAATGGAACCTGCGATGTATTTGGTGCTGCGGAACTTGTCTACGCCAATATCAAGGAGTTTGGACTTAAAGATGGTTGTGTCCCAGGATTCGAGGGCGATAAACTCGCGATCGATGTGTCTGAAGACGTAAATACCTGGTTTCTGTGGGATTGTGAATCTGGAAATGACCTTCTTTGTGACATGGAAGAGAACTTGGTCCTTTGGAACCCAGGATGGTCTCTTGTCTGTATCAACGGCAATGAAGTGGTTGCCTGGGAGCTCGAGGAGTCTTCTGAATTCTTCTGGGTGGCCGATATCGAAATGAGGCTCCGAAATGGAATGTGTGACCCAGAATTGGAAGCTCATTGGTGAGAAGTCGGAGATTGTAGAACGGACGTGTCTGCCTTTCAAGTATGCAGAAGCGCATGGATAAGCAATGCAATATTCATTTGTCTCTGGATTTGGTTCTGTAAGAGCGAATGCTGTGAAATTGGAGTTGTCTTCGATGGCGAATCTTAATGGTTTCATTACTTTGTAGGAGTCTGCATAAACAACAACACAGTTTGGATTTTTAGCAATCCATGTAGCAATCTGATTCTTTGGTACTGTGGTGTAGTTCAGTGATACCTGCTGCTTCCTTGTGATTCTGTTTGAGGAGGTAAGATGAAGAAGAAGGGATAACATGAAGTGTCAAAATGACGGATTTTTGTCAATTCTATCTGTCAGATGAGATAAAATTGTCCAATCTGACGTCAGAAGCAAACAAACAAATATCATAAAATCTGTTTTAAATCTTATAAGGAGTATTTTCGTGATGGATGAACTGAAAACCTTTCAAATTTTTGTAAAATCATAAATTTTTTTTCCGGCTAAACAACTATATATAATCGTAGTTATCAGACTTCTCTAAAATGATTCGGAAACACACGTCCTTTTACTAGCATATTATCTATTAAACGGTTAGTTATAATTTAAAATTACGGACCACGAATATTCAATTAGAAGTTATTGTCATTTGTTCAAAAAAGCGGCCACTCGATGTATTTTTAAATGTAAAACAATAGAAAAATGTAAATAATGTCATTAAAAAGGACAAGAAAACAAAAAATTGATGTGAAATCCAGATTTGAGTAAGAAATAAACAAATATTTTATAAATAAACTAAGTAAAATTGGAAAATATAATTCACATGGTTAAAATAAAATTAAAAAACAAATAAATATTAAAAAATATTAAAAATTGGCTTAAAAGAAGCGAGTATTGGTGATAGGTTTCTCTGTAGATGTCGAATTATCTGTACTCTTACTTCTCTGAGACTTTGGAGTTTGAGATTTCGGAGACATAACGTCTCTTTCAATGTTTGACATGATTCTATCAACATGCTTAAGGTCTGCGAGGCCTGAGAAAGCCATAATCCTTGCATCAGGTGACAAAATGTCATGTTCTGTCTGCATTTCGCTTTCATGCATTTCAGCTTCATAAGTTTCGTAATCCGGAGTAGTTGGTCTTAAGTCAGCGTTATCATCTTTAATAGCCTTTGACTTTAAGAACCTCTTTCTCGTTGCTCTGAGTGAAGTGACCAAAGAATCTCTATTCGAACCTGGATTTTCTTCATCGGAATCATCAGAAACATGAGAATTCCACACAAATGTTGGTGTTCCTCTGTTTCTTCCACTCAATGCTTTTCCGAGCCTGCTGGAATGAGGTGCTCCTGTAGAATACCTAACTGTTTGTGGCGGAGCACTTGTTATTGAAGACATTGAATCTTCGGAAGGAACTTGGTTTGGCCTGTAAGAATTAACTCTTGCAAGACCATTAGGAGAAGTAATTGTTGATGTTGTTGGTGTTATCCATCTGTCTTTCTTCTTCTTCGTTGTGCTTGAAGGACCTTTGTTGCTGTCCATTTGTTCATTAATCTTCTTTACTTCTTCTGATGTCATCGGCTGTAATTTCGTATGGTTTTCTTTCTTTTCTTTCTTTTGTTCTTTGTTTTGTGGTGTTGTCGTTGATGTTGCAGGCGAAATAGACAAAGCCTTTCTTCCACTTGGTGTTTGCTCTTGTTTCTTTTGAGGAGCAGGTTGTTGTGTTTGTTGTTGTTTGTCATCAGGAAGTTCGACAATTGGAGCGAAAATTGATGGTGGAGGAACATTGTTTGTTAATCCAAGAGAAGCCAAAGGAAGACGAGGAAGACTTTGAGCAATTGCATCTGTTCTATTTAGTTGCTGCATTTCTTCATCATCTGGTTTCTTCTTCGGCTCAATTCTAACTGTTTGTGCTATTGGAGGATTGTTTATTGGATTTGGCATGTTCTGTAATGGTTGAGTAACAACAGCTGGTTTTCTTTGTTTGTTCTTATTGTTGTAGTTGTAATTTGCAAGTGAAGTTAATCCGGAACTTTGTAACAAAGCATCAGCCATTTGTTGTTCTTCCTTTGATGCTGTAACGATCTTCTTTGGCTGTTGTTTCTTTGGCTCTTCCTGGTCAATTGTGTTGTCTTCATCATCAGCTTCTGCATTCAATAACATCGAAACGGATGTTGATCTTTCATCAGGAGTCATAACAATTGAAACATTTTGTTTCTTAGAGTTGTTGATTGGAGATCCATCTTCAGAAGGTGGAGGAGAAAGAGAAGAATCCCTTATTTTCGCTGGTCTGTGTTCTGGATGTTGTTTCTCTGCAGGAATGAATTGTTTCTCAGCTGATTCTGGTTTCTTTATTGGTGGCATTCTTGACTTTCTTCCAACTGTTGTAATGTTTAAATCAATTAAATCAGGTGGTTTTGAAATAACTGTTTGAGCTCTTTGTTTCTTTTGTTGTTGATTTGGTTTATTATTGTTGTTAATTTGTGGATGAGTTTCTTGTTTCTGATTGTTAGGATGCTGAATATTGACATGTTGGTTGTTTTGAGGAGTTGCTTTTGTTTGTTGTTGCTGTTGATTGTTTTGTGGTGTTTGTTCCTTTGGTTGTTCCAATTTCTGTTGAACTGTTTGTTGTAAACTTATTGTTGTAGCTGGCTTTGGTTGTTCCTTTTGTTGTTGATTTGGCTTTGGTTGTTCTTTCTGTTGAGATTGATTTGGTTTTGGTTGTTCCTTTTGTTGCTGTTGTTGTGGTGTTTGTTTTTCTTGAGTTGGAGTCTGTTTAGGTTGTTCTTTTTGTGGGGTTTGTTTTTCTTGAGTTGGAGTCGGTTTAGGTTGTTCTTTTTGAGGAGTTTGTTTTGGTTGTTCCTTTTGCTGATTTTGTGGTTGTTTTGTTGGTTCTTTCTGTTGAGATTGATTTAGTTTTGGTTGCTCCTTTTGTTGTGGTGGAGGAGTTTGTTCCAATTTCTGTTTAACTTGTTGTTGTAAACCAATTGTTGTAGCTGGTTTTGTTGGCTCTTTCTGTTGTTGTGGAGTTTGTTTTTGTTGTTCTTTCTGTTGTTGATTTGGTGTTTGTTTCTGTTGAGCTGGAGTTTGTTTTGGTTGTTCCTTTTGTTGAGAATGATTTGGTTTTGTTGGTTCTTTCTGTTGTGTTGGAGTTTGTTTTGTATTGTTGTTTGTTGGTTTGTTTAAGTTTGCTGCAATAACTGAAGAAAGAGGAGCAGTTGATGATTTGTTGTTTGTTGGAGAAGGAGATTTCTTTGCTTCTTGTGGTTTCTGTTGTTGTTTTGCAGCTGGTTTTGTTTCTGTTTGTTTTGGCTGAGATTTGTTATCAACTGGTTTCTTTGCATCAGTTTTAGCTGGTTGTTGCTTTTGTTGAGCAGGTTTTTGTTGTGATTGCTTGTTATCTATTATTGGTTTAGCAACAAGAGCTGCAGCAATTGGAACCGTTGCTGCTTTAGCGTCAATCTTTGGCTTCTCTGCGTTTTCTTTTGGTTTTTCTGGTTCATTTTCTTTCTGTTTTTCTTCATTTTCAGCTGGTTTTTCTGATTCTTCCTTTGGTTTTTCTTCTTTTTGTTTTTCTTCGATTTCCTTTTGTTTTTCTTCTTCTGATTGTAAAGGAGGAAGAATGAGAGCAGCTGAGAGTGGAGCTGTTGATGATTTTGCATCTTTTTCTTCATGTTTTTCTTGTGGTTTTTGCTCTGTTTCTTCTGGTTTCTTCATTGAGTTTCTCAAAACATTCTTAAGAAGAGAAGAAAGAGAACCTGGACTTGGAGTTTTAGCTGGTTTCTTTACTTCTTCTTTAACTGGTTCTTGTTTGTTTTCTTTTACTTCTTTCTCTTCTGGTTTCTTTTCTTTTTCTTCTTCTGGCTTCTTTTCTTCTGCGTTCTCTTTTGGAAGAAGATTATCCACTGGAGCAGAATTTTCTTTTGTTTGATTTTCTTCTGGTTTCACATTTGTTACAATAATTACAGAAATTGGTGCTGCTTTTGTTTCTTCTTTCTTCTCTTCTGGTTTAGTTTCTTTCTTTTCTTCAGGTTTCTTTTGTTCATTTTGTTTGTTTTCTTCAGGTTTTGCAGCATTGTTTGGTTTAGAATTATCAGGTAAATTCTTTAAATTGTTTGAAATAACACCAGAAATAGGAGTAGCTTTAGAAGTTTGTTTGTTTTCTTCAGGTTTATTGTTTTGTTTGTTATCTGTTTGTTTTGTAACTGGTTTCTTTTCTTCTGGTTTAGTTTGTTTGGAACTATCTTGTTTTTGGTTGTTTGTTTCTTTTTGTTTCTGATTTTCTGGAATATTCTTCAAATTGTTTGAAATTATTCCAGAAATTGGTTCTGATTTCTGTTGTTTGTTATCAGAAGGAGAAGTCTGTTTATTCTGTGCCTGTGGCTTTTTATCATTTTGATTATTAATTGGAGCTTTTTCTTCTTTCTTTTCTTGTTTAGTTTCTGGTTTATTGTTACTTTCTGTTGGAACATTCTTAAGATTGTTAGTAATGATTCCAGAAATTGGTTGTTTAGTTTGTTCCTTTGGTTTGTTATCAGATTGTGGTTTAGAAAGAAGATTATCAACAGGAACATTTTGTTTGAGATCGTTGTTTTGTTGTTGTTTTGGATCATTTGATTGTTTGTTTTCAGGAACTTTTTCTTCTTTTGGTTTCTCTTCATTTTGTGGTTTGTTTTCTAATTTACTAGTTATAGCTGTAGATAATGGTTTAGTTTCGTTTTGTTTATCATTAGCTGGTTGTTTGTTATCTGTTTGTGGTTTAGAAAGGAGATTATTAATAGGAACATCTTTGTTTTGTTTCTGTTCATTTGGTTTTTCATCATTTTGTTTATTATTAGAAAGTAAATTACCAATAGGAACAACTGGTTTAATTTCTTGTTTGGAATCACTTGGTTTAGATTGTTTATTATCAGTTGTTTGCTTGTTTTCATTTTGATTTGGTTGTTTGTTGTCTGAAAGTAAATTTTCAATTGGAACATTTGGTTTAATTTCATTTTGTTTGTTCTCTGTTTGTGGTTTATTGTTATCAGAAAGAAGTTTATCAACAGGAGCAGCTGCTTTAATCTCTTGATTTGGTTTAGAATCAGTTGGTTTATTTTCATTTGGTTGTTTATTGTTATCAGAAAGTAAATTATCAATTGGAACAACTGGTTTAATTGATTGATTATTATCTGTTGGTTTAGATTCATTTTGTTTGTTTTCAGTTGCTTTGTTCTCCTGAGTTTGTTTTTCATTATTTGCAAGTAAATTATCAATAGGAACATTTGGTTTAACTTGTTGATTCTGTTTAGTATCATTTTGATTTTGTGGCTGTTTGTTATCAGATAGAAGATTGTTAATAGGAACATTTTGTTTGATCTCTTTATTCTGATTTTGAGACTTATCATTATTTTCTTGTTTAGAATCACTTGTTTGTTTATCATTATCCGCAAGTAAATTATCAATAGGAACAACTGGTTTAATTGACAAATTGTCTTTATTCTCAACATTTTGCTTATTTTCTACATTTTGTTTCTCTGGATTTTGTTTGTTTTCATTATTAAGTAAATTATCAATTGGAACATTTGGTTTGATTGGTTCATTTTGTCTATTTTCAACAGGTTTAGATCCATTATTTTGATTTTGTTTGTTTTCATTAGGAAGTAAATTATTAATAGGAACATTTGGCTTAACTTGTTGATTTTGATTTTGTTGTTTTTCATCGTTGTTGATGAGTCCAGAAAGGAGACTTTGTTTTGGTTTTGGTTCTTCTTTCTTCAAAAGTCCAGTTAAAATTGGTTGTCGTGGAGGAGAATTTGGAGGAGAGTTGTATTCGATTGGTTTCAGTTCTTCACTTGATTTGTTTCTTGGAGGAGAGTTCTTTCCGCCTGGAATCACTGCTCCTGTTGCATCATCTAAGAACTCAGAGGCATCTTCAGCGAAAGTCAGTGTCAAAGGACAATTCTTTGGTTGTTGGTTCTGTGGCAATGGTTGATTTGCTTGTTGTGGTGTTTTTTGTGTCTGTTTTGGTTTAGAAAGAATTGAAGATGCTGCTGTTCGCATTGGAGAAGCATTCTGTGACTTGTTTTCTTGGTTTTGTTGGTTGTTTTCTGGTGGATTGTCAAATGTAACTTTGTTTCTGTTTAATGCGTCTTGTAATGACAGAGAACTTGTGTTATCTTGGTTGTTTTGTGGCTGTTCTTGTTGTTTCTCTTGTTGTTTTGGTTGATTTTCGTTGTTTTGAAGTGATTTATTCACTGAATCTTGTAATGACAATGAAGGTTGGTTATTTTGGTTGTTTTGATTGTTTTGTGGCTGGTTCTGTTGATTTTCTGGTTGTTTTTCTTGTTTTTCTGGTTCTTTGTCCAAATTTTCTAGAGCATTATTCACAGAACCTTGAATTGAAAGAGAAGGTTGATTGTTTTGGTTGTTTTGTGGTTGTTCTTGTTTCTTGTCTTGGTTTTGAGGCTTATTTTCCTTGTTTTCCGGAGAATTATTTGGAGATGAAAGTTCTTTTTGTTGTTCTTTGTTGTTTTCATTTGTTTTTGCATCTTTTACAGCATCCTGCATTGATAATTTATCATTTGGTTTATCATCTTTTTGATTTTTATTATTTTCATCTTCTTTCTTAGCATTCTCTATGGCATCTTGAATACTAAGCTTGTTGTCATCATTATTCTTTGGTTTATCTTCGTTTTTGTCATTTGATTCTGGCATATCAAAAACATTCTTCAACGCAGTCGGGTTTTCTTTATCTTTATTACTTGGGGGAGATTTGGACTGTGTCGGCGAATCTGATTTTTTTGGGACCTGGTCTAAATTCTTGTTGTTTCCGTCGACATCAACTTTTCCTCCGAAATAAGAGACTTCTGTTGTTTGTTGAGCAATGAGAACCTTCAAACGATCCTTTAAGATTGCTCCTTTTGTCATTTCTTTGATCATCTTCCTCAAACTTAAATCATATTTTTCTGGATTTTGTGGATCTTCATTATTTTCTGGATTTTCTTGATTATCCTGATCCTGTGATGCTGTTTCGTTATCATTAGGCTTTTCTTCAAGTTTTTCTTCGATTGTAGATTTAAGATTGAGATCTTTATTTTCAGTTGGTGTCACTTTTTCGGGGGAAGTAGTTTCTATATTCTCTTGAGGCTTATTTGAAGGTACACTTGAAGATCTCTTATGAGGAGAGTGTTGTGGAGAGCTTCTTTGTGATCTATTTGGACTTCCTTTTGAAGAAACAGGCGATCTTCTGTTAGATCCATGATAATTTGACTTATAATCTAATTCGCTCGGACTTCCACTGCCTGGATACATTATAGTTCCATTTCCATATTTAGAAGAATAGTTTGTCTGTCCATAATTCCTGTTCTGTGGTGAAAGAGATCTTGAATTTGCCTCTGAAGAAGCAGCAGATGAGTAATCTATGTTGCTCTTATGATAAATCTTTGGTTTAGACTGCTTTGAATACGGCTGATAGTATGGTTTGTTAGTATTTTTAGTTGGATTTCCTCTTCTCGATGTTGTATTAGTAGCAGTCGATTTCTTACCACCAGATTCTGATGTGTTTGTTCCAACAGTTGATTTCTTTGGTGGACTTTCAACATCAGAGCCAGAACCAGATTTATAATTTTCTGGTTTTGCAAAAGCAGGGGGTGCATAGTCACTCCTCCTGCTCTTTGGACGATCGTCTTCTGAAATACTAGCCAAATCATCTTTATCTGCTTTACTTTGGTCATTTACACTTGGAGTTGTTCTTCCACTTGTTTTATAGTAATGTTCTGTGTTTGGATTCACCATAGGATAACCTGCTATTCCTCGTGGTGAATTCACTGTTGTCTTCGCCGTTCGGTAATTTGTTTTATCATTTGATGCCGTCTTGAAAAGATCGTTATTTTGGTCCAAACGACGTGCAAACAGCGAGTCATCTTTAAGCATAGAAGGATTTCCACTTTCCGATGTTTGTGTACGCTTTAATGTTGAAGTTCGTGGTCGAGAATTAGTTGTAGGTCTTGATTCTTGAGGTGTATCACCACGTTTTGTTACATTCCCTTTTCTTTGCGCTGCATATCTGTACTCAATTTCCTGGACAGATTCTGGATCCAACATCTTGTTGAATTTATTAGGTCCAAACTGAATGGATGGATATAAGTAAGGATATGTGCACTTAGATTCGTAAACATTATCGTTTTGTTTCTTTTTCTTTCTTACATTTATCGGTTGTTTAATAATTACTGGGCGTGGTGAAGAATTTGAAGTATTATTTTCTGTATGATTATCTGGTGAATCAAATATTGAGCTTGTCATTGATGGTTCTTGATTTTGAAGATCGTTAATTTCTTCTTCTTCGGCATTTTGATCATTTCCTGAAAATTGTAGTGATTTCTTTGATAGAGATTCTTCGTCTTCAATTTTCATTCCGTTTCCGCCATCGTCAACTTCATCATCATCGGAGTATTGAATTCCATCTCCAATATCATCGCCGGCATTCTTTCGTTTATGAATGCGTTTACGTTTTGAGCGTAGATCATTTGGAAGATTTTTCTTTGGAACTTGAACAATTTCTGGTCCTTCTTTAACTTTTGATGCCACATTATTAATTCGTTCATTTAATGACATTGGTTGTGGGTTTTCCACAATGGAGCCTTGTTCATAAGAGTAGTATTTGCTAAAATCAATCGCAATTTGTTCCTCTTCTTCGTGAAAATCGTTTTCTACAGTTAATCCACTAACGTTGCCATTCGTCATGGAGTCTCCTGTTTGGTTTAAATTGTTTGATTCTGTAGCATTCATAAATTTTTTGCTCTAAAAAAATTTTTTTTATTTATTGTAAAAAAATATAACGTGCAAAACAAAAATTGACTTTTTATGTAATAATTGTTAGGAAAGAATTAGGCTATATTTGTGTATTTGATTTCTATATTTTTGAGTTCCAAATGTAAAAAAATGGTTCAAACATTGAGGAATCAATTTTGACACTGGTCTAAAAACTAATATAAAGATAAGCCTAAATAGGTATAACATCCTAACTCTGATTTCGCATAATAATGTTCCATTTCTTGGAGGTCCCCAAATAAAATTTGAATGAAAACGATTTTATCAGATTAAATCAGGAATATATAATGAACATGATCATTTTTAAAGGATTTTGCATTCCAGATCAACAATATTTAACAATATTTGTTAAAAATATTTCTTTTTTGATAATAAAATGTGATAATTTCATCTGAAAGCATTCAAATATCAAACATTTACTTGATATATCTCTAACTTTATTTATGGGAAATATAAAAAAAAATTATGATGATTAATACTCAACACATCTTTATACAAATGAAAACTAAGACATTTGGTATATATAAAATCTTTCATGATAGTCCAAATTCTTAATTGAATTTCGGAAGATTCTCTTCTTCTATGATACTCACTCAGGCAATGTACCATCAAGGTTAGAAGTATTGAACTTAATATGTCCAATCTATAGATTAGTTAACGTAGATCTATAGAGAAGTTAATTTTGAGAATATGTCAAGTTTGTCATGGATTTGTATTAGAGGTATTTGTCAATGTTTTCACAATATTTAATATTTCGTGAAGTGAAATGATTTTATTTTTATCGCAGCATTCAATTCCGTTATTTGATAACAGCATTTTATAACATAAATTAAGTCTTCTATTATATTTTGAATGTGAAATCTATTGTTATATTTGTTTTAGAGAATACAACAAAGTCATCTTTATCGCTGAAGTCCCATTAAATGTATTACGCAGCTGTTTACTGGTGTTGTTTCATTTTGAAAGGAAAACGATTTGAATTCAACGGATTTTTAATTTTTTATTTTTTGAAAGTAAACAACGGTTTTTTAATTGGATTTCAAAAACATATGAAATCAAAATAATTTGATTCCATTTGATACTATTTTAATATTGCTTATGATTGTTTTCAGAGATCAGATACATATTATCGTTTGGAATTCAAAAAAAATCGGATCTATAAAATTCAGAAATAATGTTGTTCTTTGGACTTATTGCTTTGGGATTATCAGAAGATGTTTGGGCTGAAATTGGTTTTAACAGCTTCGATGTTCCTATGTCTCAAAACGTAACAGTTCATATCCCAAGTTTTCCAGATGAAGATACATATTTTGTTCTTTTAACTCGAAAAGATATAAATTTCTTAACACCTGATATAAAAGTATGGTGAGAAGGAGAATCCTTTACAGTTGAATCGACAAATTATTATGAATATTATTGCGTTAAATTTCCTCATGGTTCAACTGCTGATTTTGTTGTTGGAACAAAGATTGGACCTGTATTATTGAGAAATCCTCTTCCAAATAAAAAGATAACAATATATTCAGTATTCATTCCTTCAGTTAAAACAAGCTACAACTTCACTGTTCCAAAAGAAAGCTCGAGGTTACAATATTCTTTAAATAAGAAAAACTACATAGATTTAACTACAAAAGAAATTACAATTACTGATATACTTTTTGTTCGCCTTGATCACGATCCTGACGATCCAATTACATATACAATGAACCATATGTACGCTGTTGGGAAAAATTTACCATGGAGTCCATACCAAAATAGAGTATTGTCTAGATTAGATAATTCTCATGTAAAGGTTTTCGAAGATCAATATGATGCATTTAGGCATTTAATAACCACTAACAATATATTATGGATGGAGTTTTATAAAGGTTTCGAAAACCATACAACAAATGACTTATATGTATCTGGTGTATGCATCTTTCCAAGTGTTAAGGATTTTAATAAAATAACATCGGATTATAGCCATAAAGGTTATGTAATAGCACAGAAACGTATAACGTTCACGTCATCTGGAGCACCATTTATGTTAGCTTTCCATTATCCTTCGTCTAGTTTTTCATATTTTGATGAAGCATATATTCTTCAGGGAGAAGGAAAATTCGAAATTGGAAACGTAAAGGGTAAGGACTATTACATGATTTATATTCCAAACCCTTCATTTTACCCATATAAGGTAGAATATTCTGGTTATTCAGCGAAATTTATCAAGATGCATTATGAAACTTCTGAAGAGACTGAAATTAAACCAGGTGAACCATGTGCTATTTATTTCAGTAGGACAAAGAGGAAAGATACAGATAAAATAGTAATCGCTTTCGATGAAAGAATCAAAGGAAGTTTCATACGTCCTGTCATTCAAATGGACAAAAATGATTTCAATGATATGGAAAAAGATCCACGAATAATTAAGAGGAATAAAATCATTATTGCAGTTGTAGTTGTCATTGTCATAGTTGCAATTGTTGTTGGTTGTGTCATTGGATTCATTCTTTGGAAGAAGAAGAAATCTCAATCAGAATCAACTAACGTTTAAATATGAATAAACTAAATTTTTGTTTCATTTCATTAATTCGTTAAATATGCGATGATTCGAGCAATTATATGTCTGATAAACAGTATTAATAGATATGAAGTTTAAAAAAATATATTATCTTTCATTTTTCATTCATTGATTGAAATAACTCATCACGACATATTCTCATTAATTTTTATAGCTTCCATGCGCACCATTCTTTATCATTTTTCATTATATGTTGAAAAATAATATTTCATTAAATAAATTAAATATTTAAGAAGAATAAATGATCTGCTTCTTATGTACTCTAGTATACCATCTTGAGTTTGAACTTCATGATAAGTTTTTCAACAAAATCTAATTAAAATTTTGAAATATGATAGAGTTGCGCAGAATATGTCTGGCGTTTTAAATATATACTTGGAGATTTGTAAGAATAAAAGGTCATGATCTGAAAAATTTTGAAAAAAGAAATTTTGATGAAAAGATTATAATTAGAAGATAGAGAATTTTTAGTAAACATAATATTATAACAATTAAACATATCAACAACATTTAAAAACAAGTGACGTTGGTATATAAGTTAAATTACTGTTCTAAAAGTTTTCCAAGTTCTTTCGATAAGTTGCGAAGACCAGTGCAAACGTAATCCTCACATTGTTCAAGAGGTTCTCCAGTTTCTGCTGCAATATCCTCGATATGGATAAATCCTTTGGCAAAATCAAGGAATCTAAGGTCATACTTTTCTGGATGAGCTGCATCATAGACGACGACAACAGATCCACTATAAATCCTTAAGCCCATATTGTCATGTAATTTCTGAAAAGCTGTGGCTAAATCTTCTAATTTTCTTCTGAATGTTGGGATTTGTTGAGGATATTTGAAGAATTCTTTCATGAAATTGTCGAGTTCATCTTTTGTGCAAAAGAAACCGAAATTACGCTCAACGTAGCATAAGTCGTCGTGCTTCCAGTATCTTTCATCATTTGTGCCATGCCAGATAGCTGCGCGGACATGATAACAGAGAGTTTGAGTTGGCTCTCTATATAATTTTTCATGGCGGCGTGTTGCTTTCTTCTGGGAGGAACCACATCTCCATGATCGTAAGCCGATCTTAAAATCAACAAGACATGGCTTTTCATAACCATGAGTCATATCTGCCTGGAAAATCATTGCGGGCTGGCCGTCCAGAGGTTCGCTTGTCATCTTTGGTGAGAATTTGACTTCAATTGGATCACCCGCTCTTAAAACTGTGTTACCCTCAGTAAAATATCCGGTACCGAGGCATTTTGGCAATAATTCTGGCTTAATAATGTCAGAGCATTTATTTGTAAAGAAATCGTACATAAAAACTTCTTGAGGATCTGCTTTTTTGGCAAAATAGCCTTCACGAAAACTGAAATTTTGGTTTTCATGGCCGAATCTGCTTCTTTTGATATCGCTTCCATTACGGGAATCCATGTGGAGAACTGCGCAATCATTAATAGGTTCAGGATGCTGAGTATTCATCAAGTTTTCTTCTGTTAGAAAAATAGATACGGATTTTCAGATGACTCGCAGAAAAATTTGAATGTACGGATTCTAAAACTGCAGAATTTGCCAGTGTTTGTTTTACTATTTTAATTCGGAATTATGAAGCCATTTGTTTTTTCGAAAAATAATTTTGAAGCTGATCGTGCATAAATTCAATTGTGTAAAAAAATCGATTCTGATAAATGGATAAAATAAGATCATATGATAACAAGTAGAAAAATTTTCGATGACGAGGTTGAAAATTATTGAGTGCTCATTTCTTTGTAATCTCCATTAAATACTGTTTTAAATCTAAAAATTTCCGTTACGATGTAATTTTGGTCATTTTTCCGAAATCAATGCATAAATTTTGAAAAAAAACATCTGAATAATGAGGAGGACGAAGCATACATTTGTTAACTTACACTTTTGGCAGTATGCTAAGGTCATTAATATCCATTTTTGGTCATTTTTCAAATTCATAGTCTATTTATCGATTTTCATTCTTTAAGAGCTATTGACTCGTATTTTATACAAAAACTATTTATGAGTAATGATACGCTCAAAGCTTGAAATTGAAATTTCCTATTGGTCTCAAAATTGCGATATATCATGTGTTATTTAGCCTTTACTAGTGTTGTGTAATTTAGAAAACTGTGAATTTATATCTTTTGTTAGGATTTATTCAAAAAATTATTTTAATTCATGTTTCACTAAATCAAATACAATGAAAATGAACTTATTGACTTCCCAGTTTCAATACATCTTTTTACAAATGACAATATTAGATATCAATTGCAAACGTAGTGTGAATTATTATAAGATCATATAATTGATTTGTTCTTAAGCATGCTTTTCAAAATTTTAAGAAATAAAGGTATTTTAATATACCAATTAAATAAATCTCATACAATATATCATTTTTGGTAAGCTCTAAACTGTATATGGCCTTTCTACTATTTTCAGGCACTTATGTTCATTTTGCAATTTCATTTCTTTGTTCTTTCACATTTCACATTTTGATTTCTGATTAAAACTTTAGATGCCAAAAAGATGAACAAATGATTATCACCCAAATCAATAGGCTTTGAAAAATATACGATGAGTAATATTAAAAAGATATTCAATTTTTATTTGATAGAGTTAAAGTAAAGAATGGTTCATTGTAGATGTTATAGTTATGACCCTAAATTTCAAGATATTAATTTTCCAGAATGTTGGGAAGACATGGATTCAACTAGGAAATTTGGAAAATCTTTGTTCGTTAAATGGAGTTTTGGCAAATTGCTGACGAAAATGGTGAATACTATGTCCAACAGAGATAACTTTTTAAAATTTTAATACATCAAAACAATTACAAAATTTTGATAAGAAAATTAATCTTAATTCATGATAACACTTGTATTTTTGAATTGCATATAGTCTATGCTTGATCCCCCTTATGTGCGAACAGAGCTCAAGGTTCAAAAATCCAATCATAAGGTAAAAAAGGGGGTTGGCGTCCTAAGGCGTCCTAGTGTAAATTTCTCAAAATTGTGATATTTACATCACATTTTTGAGAGGTTTATGGGCGTCCTAAGGGAAAATTGAATAGCTAGGGCGTCCCGAATTTTCATTCTAAGATTTAAATATATTATATACTTAAGTATAATACAAGCAATATAAAAATTAAAATTTTATTATGTTAACTTATAAGAAATTTTTTTGAATTATCGTTGATTTATTGTAATCTTTCCAGGCTATACTTTTGAAATCAACTTTACCTGTCATACGCATTAATGTAGTAGATGTCCAGGTGTAGCTATTATATCCCAGCAACATTGGTATTTTATCATTGTAAGATATCAAAATGAAGCGTTTTTTCAGATATAATTTTTCGTAAATTTTTCAAAAATAAGATGGTAAAAAAGCCTCGACTTGCTCGAAAAATAACAATTTTTTTACTTGTAAAAATAACCCTTTTACAGCATGGGCAGCTATTCAATCACTATTTCTTTTTCTAAAAGTATATTTTTCAAAAAAAATTAAGATCAAATTCGACAATTTCTTGATGAAAGCAAAAATATTACACATACTTCTAGATGCATGGGATAAAATATGCAATTATTCAATCAATTCGCATGATTTGAAAAAAAAATCTAAATTTGATAAAAATGTAGAAATTTTTTATTTTTAACTTGAGATTCGATTTTTTTGATCCAATTTGTGAATTTTTTTTGATCGGAATTTCAATTAATTTGTTGATCAAAAATGACCTCACAATGTTTGATCATAAGTGAAGTCATCTTCATGGGTATTTAGAAATTCCAAGAGAAATTGCTTATTTCTCGCAGATGTAATAGTAGTAGGATAGGAAGGGTTGTGTGACTTTTTTTGTTACATCTATATATAGATGAAGGTATGTTTTCCCAGCCTCTATATATAGATGATATAAAATTTTTTCTTACGTTTTTTAAGTCATGAATTCGTAAGAAAGCGCGACATTATTAAATAAATTAGTAATAAATATTATACACTCAACCCATACATAATGAAATAAAAAATAAAAAAATTTTTAAAAAATAAACTTTAAAAAGAATTTGATGAGTTCAACATTGAACTTTAAGAAGCTAATTATTATTTGAATTTATGATATCAATTATTTGATTCATTCTTTCTTCAATCTCTTCTATTCTTTTTGTTAAATCATCAATTTTCATTAATGAGGTGATTCTTGATTGAGGAATAGATTTCAAACTAACCACCCCTTTTATTTTTGAAATTTTGAATCCATCAACTTTAAACATTTTATTCAATTTACACGTTGTCAATTCTTCAAATAATTTTTTATTGTTAGCATAATAGTCATTAAATTCTTCAACAGATGAAAAAATTTTTATTTCAGTAATTGGTTTAACAACGTTTATTTTTTGTTGAACATTTTCACTTTCATTTATTTCTTCCTCCTCTGTTTCATTTATTTTTAAAATCGGTTTCATTTATCATTAAATAAAAATTAGAATATAAGTGATGAAATATATTTTTTAATTAATATTAAATCAGAAATGGCTGCAGGATTCTTTAAAAAATTATGGGATGGAATTAAGAAAGCTGCGGGTTGGGTTCATAAAAATATTATTAAACCCGTTGCAAACTTTTTGGCACCAGTAGCGAAAACGGCAGGAACTATCATAGGTGGAGTATTAGGTACTAAAGCAGGTAATCCGGCGATGGGAGCACAAGCAGGTAACGCAGTTGGTGGAATTGCTGAAGGAATACTTAATAAAATAGGAGGTAGATAGTGGAAAAATAAATAAATATTATTTTTATCTTAGTATCGGTTGAAGTCTTTGATAAACTTTTTCTCCTTTATTTAATATTTCTCTTATTGGGGCAGCTTTTGGTGTTATTGATTCAGCAACGTCACTAATTGCTTCTTTATTCTTAAATATCCAATTTGCTCCTTTCTTCATTGTTTCCCAAACTTTATGCGCTCCTCTTTTTACTTTATCCCACAGTTTCTTAAATATACCTGCAGCCATAGTTGATTATTTCATTAAAATTAAAAATTCATTTTCATCTTTTAATTTTGATTTTTTATTTAATAATAAATGACGACTAACTATTTGATGCCAAACACTAAACCGATTAATGGAAATGTGTTTCATTCATTCGAAAAGATAAATGAAATATTCGCAAAGAATGACGGTAGTAGAAGATATTATAGAGAACTTGAAAGTTCATGCTATGACTCTGATGCTCCATATTTTGATGATAAACAAACTCATTTAAGAATTACAAATCCGGCTCATGATGTGAACCAATTAGGTGACACATATATTAAACGCAAAGTTAAAGCAACTCTAGTTTCAAATAAAGCTTTCACATGCGATGCCGCTTTTAAATGCATGCGTTTATTCGTTGGTTACAAATCATCAAATCAAAGCTTTAAACAATTAGAAGTAGAAACCGAAAGAGGTGATGCCGGTTATCTTCAGATGGATTGCGCCCGTGAATCTTTCGCATTTGCAACATATAAACCAAAATCAGAAAGGAAAGTTAAAAAGTTTGTTCATTCGTTATATAATAATGTTCAAAAATATGATAACTCAGTATGTGGTAAATATATTGACCCTTCAGAAGTTTTCAAGAGAGCAAATGAAGAAGTTGATGTCACTTTTGATATGATTATTCCGGTAAATGATTTGTTAGCATTTCAGGCGTTCGATGATTATCCTAAATCATTTGGTGAAATCATTCTTAAATATTATGTTTTCAGGGATACTTTAGTATTTTGTCAGGTTGACCCGTTAAGAGTTGCTGATTTACAAAATTACGTTTATGAAAAGATAACTGATGAAAATTATGAAAAGATTATGAATCATGTTTATAAATATGATCGCAAATTCCAACAAATCGGACTTCCTGCCAAATTAATTACAAGCTTAGCCGCTACATCTGCTGACGCAACAGTTGATAACGTTATTATTTCATGCACAAAGATGGAAGTTTTAGAGGATAAATGCATTACACCAGGATACGGTTTAATTGAAGAATCAGTTAAAGCAATACCACGTTTATTCAGTAAGGAAGATCCATTCATGATTCCAGCTCAACATATTGACGTTCGTTCACTAAATGGAGGTTGCATCACTCCTGAAGGTATCAGCTCAGATTTCTCATACGCTCTTCATAATGTTACAGATGTCGTGTTAACATTTCCGAAGAATGCAATGCAAAGAACAGTTTTAGAAAATCCAATGCTTCGAGGTCTTCAGGTCACTATAGATTCCAGAAACTTCCCCGATCAAGCGATGACCACAGTGGGTGACATATTCTTTACACGTATGCTTCAAGCTTCTGATTTAGATGGAGTGAATGAATGCACGGAAGAATACGAGGACTCATTAACTAGACCACTGAATGCAGATGATGGCACGCCATTAGCTAGAACATGGAAAGACCAAACTTCATTCTTATGCACTATTCCAGTTCAACGTGATGGAGCGGGTATATTC